TTAAGCTAGTCTGGGCAAAGGCATCTAGTTGCACATGTTTGAGTGCATCGGTACCCCCAAAAGTGATTAGTTGAAGGGGCTCCAGAGGGGAGAAGGAGGAGGGTTAAGCTAGTCTGGGCAAAGGCATCTAGTTGCACATGTTTGAGTGCATCGGTACCCCCAAAAGTAACCAGTCCAATGCACCCCAGAGGGGCTTGGTAGCTGATGCTATACTAGCTAGCCAATTGTTCCGGGTTATCTTAACAGAAGGGCCATTACGTTTCTCTGTTATCTTAAAAGGAGGGCGTTTATTATATGTTGAACTGGTACTCGATGATGTCAGCGCGTAGAGCCCTACCACCGTCTACTTACACGGCTGTGGTAGGATTCCTACAACACGTTCAACGCCCTACCACCGTCTACTTACACGGCTGTGGTAAGCTTTCTACAAGTAGGTACGTGCCTTACCACCCTCGTGTATGTAGACGGTGGTAGGGCTCTGCACGTCCTGTAGATCGCCTACCACCGTCTACAGGTGAGGTTTGTACTGTTTTTTGTATACTCAGCTTAACTAATCGAGGCAGGGCAGCACTTAGACTACTAGAACGCTCTTTCATTGACAGTAAATACTAGACACCATGGTAGCAACCACAGTGGTTGCCATGGCTCCGACTTCTCCCCTCGGACGGACCAGCACCGGAACCGGATCCTGCATTGTTCCTGGAAGGCTTGTGGAATTCAATCGCATATAAAGGTTCGCATGAAACACCCTAACTCATTGGATGGCCTTGCTTTGGATCTTGATTCCTGATCTTTGCATCTGTGCACTAAAGTCGTTGTCTCATTTGCAAGACTCTCATCATGGATGGAGAATCAATGGTTCTACAAACAATGACGCAACGACTTTGACCAGTATTGACGGAATTTCAGTTTCCCGCACGCTACCGTACTATAAAGTACGAATGTGCAACAAGAGTTCAGGAGCATGGTTGCTACTAGCTGCGGTAGATGCATTAGTTACTAAAAGTCATACTGCGTGTCGTGATGTGCTGTGCTCTGTGCTGTCGTCGTTGCTTTCGTTGTCTTGCCCGCCGGTGCTTGCTTGCTCTCTGCGTCTGCTCGCTCACCTATACTATACTTTGGCATTCTACTAGACTACTAGGATCCATTGGTCTTGAAGAGTAGACTTCCACGCATACCTGCTGATTGACGACGCTGCGGAATACCACTTTGCTCTCCTTTCATCTTGCCTGGTTGTTCGTCTGCAAAGCTGTTGTCGGTTTCTGCTGCTGCACTACTACTACTACTATTGGGAATCTTGTAGGGAGCTGCATCTGGAAAGATCTCTTCCCTGGCTGTCAATACCTGCTGGTTATGAAGCATGAGTTCCTCATGGATGGAAATGCCATCCAAGACGAGAAACGCCACAAATGGGTCTTCCATGACCAGAATGGATTCATAGAGGGATGTGAGACAAAGGGTGGTAATGACGGCCATGGCAATGCCCATTCCCAAGGACTGGATTTCAATAGCGAGCTGGGCAAATGTGGAAGCGTAAAAGGCAGGAAGGCAAATGGTAAAGACCCTCGCAAAGGATCGCAGAGCTTGGGGAGTCCGGTACATTTTGAGAAAGCGCAACTTTTCCAACATTTCTTGGGTGGTGCGATGAAAGCCTTCCACCCGCGACAATTCACTCCCTGACAATCCAGCTCGCTTGATTCGTTCCGCGAGCTTGGTGTATTTGACCATTTGTCGACTGGCAAAGACATCGTACAGTTGTACGGCCACGTCCAAGGTTCGATGCGCTTCCTGTTGTCCATGATACGTGACTTGATGCCTCGTCAGTGTGGAAGTGGGGAGCGTCAAGAAGCGGACCAGCGCTTCTCCTCCCACATACATGGTATCGAGCAGCTCGTCGCAATGTGCCAAAATGTCGAGATCGGCATTGGCGCGACCGCGCCCCTTGTCCCAATCCCAGAGTGCATGGGCATGGTAGAGCATGGTTTGACAGGACCGAAGACTGGCGAGTATCTTGAGTGCTTCTTCGCGGCGACCAAATCCCATTTTGACGAGGTTGGACATGGGCAAGACAACGGCAAAGCCGACGAGCACCCACGAAAGGCCCCCTCCATCCCACGTGGTGTTGTCTTTGTGGGTGAAGTACCAGTAGCAAGTCATTCCTATCGATCCAGCGAGCGCAATGTAGGTTTCAATCGTCACCAGATAGATAAAGAGGACCTTGAAGGATGCCCAAATGGACAGGATGGAAGTGACAAACTCATTGGGGACTCCCTGGCGCACGCGTGCTTCCAGTTCCTCCAAGCTCGCCTTTTGTTCGGCGGCGTTTTCAATGAGCAAGGATCCGTCGCCACCGCCCTTGTCTGCAAAATGCATCATGCGAGGCACGGCACCATCTTGCATTTCACGAAGTTTGTAGTTGATAGTGGCAGCATCCGTCGCGGCACTTGTGGCAGCCTTGGTCAGTGTCACGGCACCTGTGGCAGCGGCGCCCGTGGCAGCCTTGGTGAGTGTCGCAGAACTTGCCGCAGCCTTGGTGAGGGTTTTGGCGGCCGATGTGGCGGATGTGGTAGAGAGCGGCATCAATGATGATGCACCAGACTTTTTGTCGCTCACTACTTGAATGGTTTCAACCCCATCATTGTTGGCCTCTTGCTCGCTCATTGTTTGTTTGTTTGTTTGTTTGTTTTTCCTGGAAGGTTGGCAACTTGAATTCAGTCCTTGGGCTCTTTTGAATGGAAGACGTACGTCCAAGAGAGAAAAACAATGAGAATGTGTCCCAGTACCGGTGTACCGGTCCAGTACCGTATTTACCGTAGAAGATCATTCGGAGTGCGTAGTCAGTGGTTAGCAATTGTGACCATCCGAAGCGGTCATTGAATCTGAAGCGTTCTCATCGACGCACCAGGCGATCGGCTATTTTAAATCATTAGGATTTGAAAAGAAGGCTATTTTTATTTATTCTTAAAATACAGCAAAGCGAGCGACAAAAGTCACGGGTGATTGCAAATACTTTACCTCATCTTACAAACATCTGTCGGTAGTTTGGGTTTTAGATTCGATTCGATTATCCCTATCTCTGTCAATCGTTTGGAGATTTATCAAAAATGCCGTTGAGGAAACGGCCACTCAATAAATCTTCGGCACGTTATTTAGGCGGATGGAGCCAACTTTGCTTCCACCCTTCTTCACCGTCTCATCAATGATGGATCTCTCGCACATGAAACGAAGCTGAGCTATTGTCCCTTGCAAAGACAACCTCAAAGCACTTCTTCTTGTTCTTCTACTAGCTAGTAGTAGTCAGTCCTCTACGCTATAAAGTCCAGAAGGTCAACTCAACAGAGTACGAGAAGAACAGCGAGAAGAAGCCAAAGAGAGAGAATGAATAGAACGACGCAATCCATGGCGTCTCTTCTGCCGTTGCTTCTCTTGGCAACCGTAGTGTCAGGTCAAATTCCTCCCATTATAAACTATGTGTTAAAGTTTGACGATGGCACTGACGCGCAATGCCGTCGATTGTTTGCCATTGAAAACAACTTGCCCTTTGAAGAAGCCGGATTCTTTTGTCTGGTGATTGATCCCGAGGACACTGCATTACTCTATGCCTCGTTTGATACTAGCAATGGATGGGAAATCGCCGAGACCAGTGCATGGTTCAACACGAATATCGACGATCTAGAGACCGACAAAGACGGATCTCCCCGTACCGACCGTTTCCCGTACCAGAGCGACAATGACATTGATCCCGACGAACCCGTGACGACCTACGGATTCCCTGTCTTGCTAGCCAATGCCGGATTCGACTGCAATTTGGCTGCCGCCGAAGGAGAACAGATTCTAGGATCCGCCTTTGCACAGCTCGTACGAGAAAATGCCGACGGAACGACTCAAGAAAATGATGGATGGGCCGATGGTGTCATTCCCGAAGACCCGGAAGCTGACATTTTTGCCATTTTCAACTTTACACTCCAATGTGTCGATTCCGCACAACTCACCGATGCTCCCACGGCCATGCCCTCGTTGCCCCCCATCATGACGCCCGCACCCATCATCACACCCGCTCCCGTCATGACACCCGCTCCCTTCATGACACCCGCGCCCGTGCCTGTCCCTGCCACTCCGGCACCCACCGATACCATGTTGCTCGACGATGGAGCCATGTGCGATGACAATATGGATTGTCGGTCGGGAGCTTGTGACATTCAGGGATTCTGTCTACTCAGTGCCGGGAAACCGTGTACCGAAGACGCTGTCTGCGGGACTAGCTCTTGCATCAATGGATTGTGTGGCACTTGCACTCCCAACGGAGGACAACAACAACAAGACACTGTTTTGACTAGGGATTTGGTAGAGAGGAGTCGCGTCACGGCACAGCTCACGCAGTGGTTGCAGACGGGATTCCCCGCGGCCCCACCGCCAATCGAGTTGACCGAATTGGGAGTCTACAATCAAAACACCAACAATCAGGCCATGGTAGCCAAGGTCGATGGCGTTTGTTATGGAATCTTTGCTCCCACGGAAACGCAAGACTTGTTCAACTTTGGTACCACACCGCTGTCGTCCTTTCAACAAACGTGCAACGTGCATGAACGAGCTCATTCGGCCTACTTTGCACCCGAACAACAATTCTGGGATTTGCGATTGGCACAATGTGCCAGCACTTGTCTCAATACCAATCAGCTAGGACTCCCCAATTCCCCCGAGACACCCATTGTGGTCATGGAGAATCGCATCATTCCCATACCCACGGCGTTGGATCCCGAAGCCTGTCCCATTGTGATTGGTGGACACGGCTTGGGAGGAGGTGCCGCGCTCGTCGCGAGTTTGACGTTGTTGGATCTCGAACCCCAAGTCATTACCTTTGGAGCTCCTCGTGCTATTGCTCCCAATTGTCCACTCATGAACCATGGAGCGGCGCTACGTCATACGCGATTCGTAAACTTGGCCTATGTCCCGTCGCAAGATACCAACCTCTTTGATGCCATTCCACAACTCGGCAGCACTCCCAACATGCCTACATTGCATCATTACGGGACGCCCGTCTTTCTCGACGAAACTCAAACTATTGTGCTCGAACTCAACGATGATTCCACTCGAGCCAGTATTTACAACAATGACCCCAATGCCGATGTCATGATGCCGTCTCAATTGTCGCTCTATACCACACGCATCCAACAGCTGGCGCTGGAATCCTGTTTCCCCATTCCGGCCGCACCGGCATGGGCCAATGGACATTGGTGCGATCAAGATGATTTGTGCGCATCGCAACGCTGTCGGCCATTCATCTCCTTGGGAGGAGCTTCGTCGGTCGGAATCTGTGCTGCCAAGGGACTCAATGAAGATTTCTGCTCGGAAAATGGAGATTGTGTCTCCAATATCTGTAACGGGGGACTCTGTTTGGGTGGAAGTCCACCGGGTCCACCTCCTGGCACACCTCAGGGTCCACCGCCCGGTACTCCGCAGGGTCCTCCTCCCGGCACACCTCAGGGTCCACCACCCGCTACTCCTCAGCCAGGCACACCACCTCCCGCACCCGCACCGGATACTGGCACAGGCGGATCCTGTTCGATTTGTACCATGGGCAGTGATTGCCAATCGGGTGTCTGCAATGCATTTGCCAGTGTACCAGGAGCGCCCTCTGGAGACGCCATGGTCTGTGCCGAAACACCACAAGGAACCATGTCCAATGGCTGCTTCTGCAACCCCAACGACAATGCCCAGTGTACCGACGGTCGATGCGAATCTGACTCGACGGGGAATCTTTGGCTCTGTATCACTCCTTTGGCCGCATGTCAGCCCTGCGACGAACCCTCGGATTGTCAAAGTGGAAACTGTCTCAATGGAGAGTGTGGTCTCCAGTCGGGTGATCCAGCCGACTGCAGTGACGGTGGTGGCACCAACCTTCCCAGTGGGACCAATGCTCCCACCGACGCGGGCCCGCCCCTATTGAATGGTTTTGAAGCTCCTCCGTCTTGTATCATGTGCGCCGCCGATGAAGATTGTCAAGGCAATGGTGCTGGTGCTATTTGCATGATGGGAAGGTGTACGTTGGACAGTGGTTTGCTCGAGGAAAACTGTCCTTGCCCACCAGGCAGTTCTGGAGATCCATTTTGTGACACGGGATTGTGCAGTCGCGTCGATGTTGCATGGGTCTGTAGGCCCAAGGCGGAGAATGGTGGCACCTGCTTAGAAAATGTTGAGTGCATGAGTGACTTTTGTGGCCCTGACAATGTATGTGCCGATGGCGGTGTTCAGCCTGCGGGTCGTCGTCTTCTGCGTCTTGGGTAAACTGGTATCGTTATTTGATTGGTGAGGAGAGCTGTACGGTGTCTTTGTTGCCCTCCTGTCTTTCTGGCTACCGTATCACACCTCACAAACGATGAGTGGGAAAGACTGCCTGCTTTCGTGGGAGCCTTCGTTATTATTCCATCATTGCTTATTTATTTGTTTGCTCTACATGAGAAATACAATGCTACTAGCTAGTGTCCATACTTTACTTTTAATCTAGCTACAGTTCGTAGAATTGGAAGCAGCAGGGCTCCATTTCCAACCACCCAGAACGAGGAGGCAGCCCCGTCATACAGTAGCTCCAACAAGTAAGTTTGCAGAATTCTTTTCGATGTGGTGCCCCAGGCCCGCTTCCCGCCATACAGCATGGGAGTTGAAGCAAGTTTCAAGCAATTTTGGCGGATTCTTTTGCTGGGCTGTTGCGTGGTGTTCAGCCTGTACCGTACTACTTGTAGCTAGAGTAGCAGATACTGACTGTAGCTGGAGTAGCTGCTAGAGTTCGCTTCGCCGTCCCGCTAGTCAGCTGCCGTTGCTTGCCTAATCTATCTGGAGTAGTGAACAAAGAGAGACAGCTGCCTCCATCCACCTCCATCCACCTCCATCCACCAAGCAACGACAGCCTGTGGCTTTACCCTCTTCGAGTGTAAAATAAATCCTACTACTAGTAATAAAGGCCCCTCGAAGATCTACCACCGACTTCGAATGGAACAATCGATGGCAAAGATTTGCATTCCCACATTCCCCACCACGAATTCTCAAACGGCGGAGGAAAGGATCTTTCGAATTCTCCGAAACAGAAAAAATGAGACGGCAATCGGTGTTCTTTGTGACTTTGAGAAGACCATGCCAATTATCGACCGTATCTTTGACTCAATCGACTCCCTTCCTGGCACCGGCGGTATTGAAATTATTGATGATGGCGAGACAGGCCATTTTCCTTTTATTGTTTCACTGGTCGACCAAGGAGTACGATTAGATAGTCAGCATCGATGTCGCATTCTGAGCTGTGGTTGACGTGGCTAATGCCCCGTGTCTCACTCTGTAATTGACGAGAGTTGGGTCACAACCAGTATGACTTGCGCGCTCTCTGATGACATCAGCACTAACTAGTGTATTGTACTCTTCTCGTCAATCCCCAAAAAGCCAGTGAGTTCTTTGAGCACGGTTGGAAACAGCTGTGGAACGCAAAAAAGTGAGAATGACTGTAATGCCAGTTAGGTAGAGTTTGTACTGTTTCTACGGTGACAGGTCAATTGAGAGCGCCACCGCAAGGTTTTGGCTCTCAACCCTCCTTTTTGCTCTCCTTTTTTGCTCTCCTCTCCTTGTTCTCACTCGCAACAAACGACGAGTCTTTTTGCTCTTTTCGAAAGTAACAACCGACGAAGAGAAACTACAGCAATCAAATACTAAACAACAACAAACAAGTTAGACTAGTTAACGAAGAACATCAATATGATCAAGTTGACTATTACTAATAAAGGAGGAGGAGGAATGACGAAAAAGGCGGGAATGCTCGTGCTTTTTATGATGACCATGATGTGTGGCGCGGCGGCGCTCGCAGTGGATGGTGGAACCGCGGCGGCGACGATGACGAAAGGAAGTGTTCTGGAGGAGGATGAGGTGAAAAAGACGGAGGAGGGCATGGCGGATGATCCTCTCCATCAAGTTTTGGGTGAGATGGAAGAACAGGTGACCATGAGGACCTTGTGGTTTTACCGTTTCTTTGGCAAGACACTCAACAAACGCAAGGCGAATGCGGACCCCAAGAAGGGAGATGGACGCTACTGTGACTACGACGATCCTACCAAGATCAAGTACTGTCCTCCAGCGGTTCCACCTCTCCACTTGAAGCATCGCGTTACGGGCGGAAACAACGGCAACAACGGCAACAACAACAACAAGGCAGCCTTGGACATGCTCAGTCACGAGCTCATCTCCAAGTGTCTCGACAACCCCGAAGATCCCGATTGTCTCCGTTTGATGGAAGAAGACAAAGGCGGCGATGACAGTGGTGCTGCGACTCGTGCGAATCCCAATTTTCAGAAACGTCGTGGAAATTTTGGATTCAATAATGTCGCGGAGACCGTCAATACTTTGGCCAATGGTGGAGGAGAGAAGACGAATGCGGAGACTGAAGAAGAAGGTGTAGCTGCTGGTGAAGCTCTCGAAGCAGGCGCGGTTCAGGAGCAAGGCGGATTTGGACGTGTCGACGGAAACACTCGTTTCGGATTTGGATTCCCCAATGCCAATAATCAGAATGATGTCGATCAGCACGCGGCCAGTGGTCAAGCCGATGAACAACGTCCTCGAGTCCAATTGGACGGAGAAGAAGATGGACAAGTCGGTCATGCTGCCACGGGAAAAGTCGAAGAAGATGTTCGTCGTGGAAGTGGCTTTGGTTTGGATCAACTTGGTAATAATGAAGGCGAAGGCGAAGGTGAAAATTACCAGGGCGGTGGTCGTGGACAAGTCGATGCTCGGGAAGGCAGGGGCAGTGCTGCGCGCGGCAGTACGCCCTTGGTGCCTCTCGAAGCATCCGCCACTGGCTCGGCCCAGCGTCAGTCGAACAACAACGATGGAACTCTCGAAACATCCGCTTCCGGATCGGCGCAGCGTGGAAGTGCCAGTAATAACGAGGGATTGGCGGCTCGACCCGGATTCGATGCCAATGGTCAAGCGTCTCGTGCGTCTGGATTCGATGCCGGTGGTGACGTCGCTCGTGAAAGTGGAAACTCGGCTCGTGGTTCTGCGTCTCGTCCCGAAGGTGCTCTTGGAAATGCTGGTCGTGATAACAATAATATTGCACTGGGTGTTGCGGGTCGTGATCAAGTCGATGCGGAAGGAAACGTCGTCCGTGGTGCCGATGGAAGTGTCGCCAGAGAATCCAATGGTGGAGAAGACCAAGCTGGAAACCTAGCTAGTGTCGCTCGTGGAAACAACCAAGCTGGTGTTGCCAGAGGACCCAATGTTGAAGGATCTGACGGTCAAGCCGTTCGTGGAAGCCAAGATGGTGTCGATCGTGAAGACAATCCCCAGATCTCTGCCAGTGGTGCGGCTTCCAGAGGCCAAGATGGTTCGCAGGGTGGGGTGCCACAACAAGGCAGTGCTACCGAGAACTCGGCCATTGGTCAAGCTAACAGAGGCAATTCCGATGGATCCGTCGTGAGAGACCCTCAAGGTGCTGGCGGTGCTGCTGCGCGTGGCGACGGAACTGCAAGCAATTCGGCTGGAACTGTTGGCAGAGGCCCTGAAGGTGATGGCGGTGCTGCTGGGCGTGTCGATGGTAGTTCTACCTCTGGCGCTGGCGCTCGTGTGCAGAGGATTCCTGGTGCAGGTGCAGATGCAGGTGATGGTGTCGCCAGAGGTTCTGGAGCAGGTGTTGACCCTGCTGCTGGATCTGGCGCTCGTGTTGACAGGCTTCCTGGTGCTGGTGCAGGTGCAGGTGATGGCGTCGCCAGAGGTTCTGGAGCAGGTGTTGACCCTGCTGCTGGAGCTGGTGGTGCCGTTGGTAGCAATGCTGGAGGATTGAATACAAACGCATGGGGTGGTGTCGGAAGGCCAAACTATGGTGGAGGAGCGGCGGTTGATAATGCGAACAGTGGTTCAGCCGGATTTGTCTTGGGGCGCGGTTCTCGGACCACCAATTACGTCTATGACATGCCTACTGGAACAGGAGATGCTTTGGCCACTCAGGAACCTACCAGGGATGACTGTTATGGTAATATGCTTGACGGTCGTTTCTGTACATCTGAACAGCCTACCATCTCCGAAGAACCTACCTATGTTGGACAAGCTGATGAGGATATCCCGGCAGGAGAAACTGGATTCTTCAATTTCACCGATGGCCAGACTGGACAGCACAATGCTTTTGGTGATGTTGATAGGGATCCCAAGTGTCTTATCGACATGCACAATGTCGACGACAGCCCCTATCCGAAAAAGATGCCCCTCGAAGTAATTTCTTCAAACAATCTCACCGTGACCTTCACTGTTAGCCAAACCTGGTTCATGGGAAAGGCTGACAAGGACAAGTTCAAGGTGCAGACATTGGAGACTGTTTTCATTCTTCCTCCTGATGGAGAAGAACGTATCTGCGCCAAAGAAGAAGATGTGCCCACTGGACCTGTTGATACTTACACTGCTATGTGTGATGCCAACGCTGGAGTGGCCTATGTTTTGATCTTGGCTCGTGACGAAGTCTTTGCAAATTACAGTGTTCCCAGTCCTACCGAGTGTGGCGATGTTGACGATCAGGCGGATCATCATGTCGGATACTCCTTCACGGTCCCCTGTACCTGTGACACGGAAATGATCTACAATAACTTTGGAAGGATTGATAAATGGAAAATTGAGTATGGACAGGGTGCTGAAGTCCAGCGTGGGCAGCCAAACCGTGGCCAAAATGCTTTTGGTACTGTGCAGAGAGACAATGATGGTGGAAGTGACCATGTCTCCGGACAGGTTGAGGTTACACGCCCTGTTGGTCCTAAGGAGCAAATTATTCATGGAAAAGCCCAGGTCAACCGCCCCCCTACCGGACCTCCTGAAATCAAGGCTCAAGGAATTGCCAACAGGCCTGACGGCACTCCCGACTTTGGTGGAAAGGGACAAGTCAATCGAACCTCTGGTGAAGAGCTGTCTGGTCAAGGCAGGGTTAATCGAGGTCCCAAGGGAGAAGTGTTTGGACAGGGAAATGTCGCTCGTACTCCCTCATCTACCCCTCTGCAGTCGGAAGCTAACATCACTCGTCCCTTTGGTGGACAGGAAGAAGCCGGTATCGGAAAGGTCAATCGTCCCTTTGGTGGACAGGAAGAAGCCGGTATCGGAAAGGTCAATCGTCCCATTGGATCAGATCAGGTTGGTAAAGGAATGGTCAATCGCACAGGTGGAGCTGGCGACGAAAATGGCCAAGGCCAAGTGAGTCGTGATATTGATGTCTTCGATGGAGAGGAACAGGAAGGTACTGGCCAAGTCTCTCGTGGCAAGCCGCTTTCCCAAACCGGAGGAGGTCGCATCAACCGGCCTCCCGCCCAGCAAGGACAAACTGGAGAAGGCTACATCAACCGTCTTCCTGGCCAGGAAGGCCAACAAGGAGATGGAAGCATTAACCGTCCTCCTGGCCAGGAAGGCCAAAAAGGAGAAGGTTACATCAACCGTCCTGGCCAGGGAGGCCAAAAAGGAGAAGGTTACATCAACCGTCCTGGCCAGGGAGGCCAAAAAGGAGAAGGTTACATCAACCGTCCTGGCCAGGAAGGCCAAAAAGGAGAAGGTTACATCAACCGTCCTGTACCAGAAGATCAGTTTGGAATTGGAAACATGACTCGTCCTGAAGATGACTATGGCTTGGGCAACAACACTCGTCCTGAGGATGACTATGGCTTGGGCAACAACACTCGTCCAGAGGATCAGATTGGAAGAGGTGATGTTGGTCGTCCTGGAGGTCCCGCCCCCGGTGAGTCTGGTGATGGTCGTCTCGTACGTACTGCAGCCCCCACCAGTGGAGACCAGTTCGGTCAAGGGGGCATCAAGCGCCCAAGTGGTCCCACGCCTGGAGACCAGTTCGGTCAAGGGGGCATCAAGCGCCCAAGTGGTCCCACGCCTGGAGACCAGTTTGGTCAAGGTGGCATTGATCGTCCCACTCGTGGTCCAACCCCCAGAGACCAGTTTGGCCAAGGTGGCATTGGTCGTCCCAGTGCCAATATGACTCTCCCCCCTGCTGCCCAAGGACAAGGGGATAGTGGCGAAATTCAGCGTATTCCTGTGCCAGAACCGAGTCAACCAGGTGAAGAGAACCTTCTGGGTAAATTACCAGTTGCTATTCCTGTTGAGGATGAAGGCTTTGTTGAGCAAACAAACTCTCCCTCCTCTGGAGGGCTTAAGGAAGTCACGCAGGTGCCATCAGCCGGTGTCGAAGAAACAACGTTGTCACCAACCACTGCTACTGGTTCACCCACAACTGCTACTGGTTCGCCCACAACTGCTACTGGTTCGCCCACAACTGCTACTGGTTCGCCCACTACGCCTGGTGCCACTCCTGGACCAACCCCCGGCTCTGAAGGAACCAGTACTCCCACGTATGAATCAACTCAGGTTGGAGATGTAACTCCTCGTCCCTCAGGTGAAGGCTCTCCCCCCAATTCCTCTCCTGTGTCCCCCAGTGCTACCCTCGGAGGCACTCCTGGCCCCACACCCACCACTGAAGCAACTGTTCCTCCCACCTATGAATCAACTCAGTTTGGAGATGTAACTCCGCGTCCGACTCCTGTCGGAGGACAACCCAATGCGTCTCCTGTTGCCCCCAGTGCTCAGAACATTGGAGGAACTCCTGGACCCACCCCTACCTCTGAAGGAACTAGTACTCCCACCTATGAATCAACTCAGTTTGGAGATGTTACTCCTCGTCCCTCAGGTGTAGGCTCTCCCCCCAATGCCTCTCCTGTGTCCCCCAGTGCTACCCTCGGAGGCACTCCTGGCCCCACACCCACCACCGAAGCAACTGTTCCTCCCACCTATGAATCAACTCAGTTTGGAGATGTAACTCCTCGTCCGACTCCTGTCGGAGGACAACCCAATGCGTCTCCTGTTGCCCCCAGTGCTCAGAACATTGGAGGAACTCCTGGACCCACCCCTACCTCTGAAGGAACTAGTACTCCCACCTATGAATCAACTCAGTTTGGAGATGTTACTCCTCGTCCCTCAGGTGTAGGCTCTCCCCCCAATGCCTCTCCTGTGCCCCCCAGTGCTACCCTCGGAGGCACTCCTGGCCCACACCCACCACCCAAGCAACTGTTCCTCCCACCTATGAATCTACCAAATTTGGAGATGTAACTCCTCGTCCGACTCCTGTCGGAGGACAACCCAATGCGTCTCCTGTTGCTCCCACTGGACAGACCCTTGGAGGAACTCCTGGACCCACACCCACCTCAGGCGAAACTGTTTCCCCAAGTGCTGGCGAAACTGAAATTGGTGACGTTACTCCTCCTCCCACGGTTGGAGGTGGACAACCCAATGCCTCTCCTGTTGCTCCCACCGGACAGACCCTTGGAGGAACTCCTGGACCCACACCCACCTCAGGCGAAACTGTTTCCCCAAGTGCTGGCGAAACTGAAATTGGTGACGTTACTCCTCCTCCCACGGTTGGAGGTGGACAACCCAATGCATCTCCTGTTGCTCCCACTGGACAGACCCTTGGAGTAACTCCTGGACCCACACCCACCTCTGGCGAAACTGTTTCCCCAAGTGCTGGCGAAACTGAAATTGGTGACGTTACTCCTCCTCCCACGGTTGGAGGTGGACAACCCAATGCCTCTCCTGTTGCTCCCACTGGACAGACCCTTGGGAACTCCTGGACCCACACCCACCTCAGGCGAAACGATCTCCCCAAGCGCGGGCGAAACTGAAATTGGTGATGTTACTCCTCCTCCCACCGTTGGAGGTGGACAACCCAATGCCTCTCCTGTTGCTCCCACTGGACAGACCCTTGGAGGAACTCCTGGACCCACACCCACCTCAGGCGAAACTGTTTCCCCAAGTGCTGGCGAAACTGAAATTGGTGACGTTACTCCTCCTCCCACGTTGGAGGTGGACAACCAATGCTCTCCTGTTGCTCCCACTGGACAGACCCTTGGAGGAACTCCTGGACCCACACCCACCTCAGGCGAAACTGTGTCCCCAAGTGCGGGTGAAACCGAAATTGGTGACGTTACTCCTCCTCCTACTGTTGGAGGTGGACAACCCAATGCCTCTCCTGTTGCTCCCACTGGACAGACACTTGGAGGAACTCCTGGACCCACACCCACCTCAGGCGAAACGATCTCCCCAAGCGCGGGCGAAACCGAAATTGGTGATGTTACTCCTCCTCCCACGGTTGGAGGTGGGCAACCCAATGCCTCTCCTGTTGCTCCCACTGGACAGACCTTGGAGGAACTCCTGGACCCACACCCACCTCAGGCGAAACTGTGTCCCCAAGTGCGGGCGAAACCGAAATTGGTGACGTTACTCCTCCTCCTACGGTTGGAGGTGGACAACCCAATGCCTCTCCTGTTGCTCCCACTGGACAGACCCTTGGAGGAACTCCTGGACCCACACCCACCGCAGGCGAAACTGTGTCCCCCAGTGCTGGCGAAACTGAAATTGGTGATGTTACTCCTCCTCCTACTGTTGGAGGTGGACAACCCAATGCCTCTCCTGTTGCTCCCACTGGACAGACCCTTGGAGGAACTCCTGGACCCACACCCACCTCAGGCGAAACGATCTCCCCAAGCGCGGGCGAAACCGAAATTGGTGATGTTACTCCTCCTCCCACGGGTGGAGGTGGACAACCCAATGCTTCTCCTGTTGCTCCCACTGGACAGACCCTTGGAGGAACTCCTGGACCCACACCCACCTCTGGCGAAACTGTTTCCCCAAGTGCCGGAGAAACCGAAATTGGGTCAGTCACACCAGCTCCCACCGGTACCACTGGTGTGACACCTAATGTTGTTCCAGTAGCAGCGCCTACTTCCCCAGAAGGAACTCCACCACCCACTTCTCCCACTGCACAGACTGTAACTCCCACTGAAGGATTCCCAGCAACAGTTCCTGAAGGAACTCCTCCCCCCACTGGGCCCTCTGAGTCCACCGGTACACCTACTGAAGAGGCACCTGTTTCTTTTCCGCAAGGAACTCCAGCTCCAACCAAAGGAAAAATTGGCTCTGAAACCCAAGCTCCAACTGGTGGTGGCATTTTTCCGGAAGGCACTCCACCCCCTACTTCGCCCACTGACCAAACCAGTACACCCACTGAAGGGTCTCCTGTGGCTCTGCCACAAGGAACTCCAGCCCCAACCGCACCGACTGAACAGACCGGTACTCCCACTGAAGGATCTCCCGTTGCGTTTCCACAAGGAACTCCTGCTCCAACATCTCCAACAGGAAAGACTGGTGCTCCCTCTGAAGGCACCACTGCACCAACACAGTTTGGAACTCAGCATAGCACTGGAAATTTGCCTCCGCGCGGGCCAACCCCGGCTGGACCAACTGGCCCCTTCCCAGAAGGCACCCCAGCTCCTTCCCCCGGAAAGACTGTCCCACCCAATGCCAGCCCCGTGGCCGGCCCTGGCCCCTTCCCGGAAGGCACCCCAGCTCCTTCGCCCGGAAAGACTGTCCCGCCCAATGCCAGCCCTGTGGCCGGGCCTGGCCCCTTCCCGGAAGGCACCCCAGCCCCATCTCCAGGAGAAACCATCCCACCAAATGCCAGTCCTGTTGCTGGCCCTGGCCCATTCCCAGAGGGAACTCCTGTCCCCACAGGAGGAAAAACTTCACTGGCACCTTCAACAGTTGAGCCTACTGGCACTTTTGGAGAGGAGACGCCGGTTCCCTCTGGTGGTCCTCCAACCAAGGAGACTGGATCTCCAACATATGTTGTCACATCAATTGGGACAACTTCACCCTCTGCAGTCAGGATATGTTACCCGGAAGTTGTGTTGGAGGATGAGAACTTTGAGAGTTCTGGTGCCTCAGAATCGTGGACAGATGGCTCACTATTTGATAGTGAAAATGTCACTCAATTCCTTGGGTTATTCGGTGATGTGAACCCTGTCATGTCTAAGACTTACGAAATCCCTCTCCTCCCATCGAGGGCCACTGATGTGACCATTGAATTCACTATGTACCAGCTTGATGACTGGGCTTCATCGGACAAGTTTTATGCTGTTATCAATGACCAGGACATCGATCTTGGCAGCATGGACTCAAGTACCAACAGCCAATCCCAGTCTGGCAGCACAGACAATGGCATTGAGTGGACACGAGTGACTCCTGAGGAAGGAATCAGCATAAACGATGGATCTCAAATGGACAAGAAACACACCATCTCCTTATCCATTCCATCAGAGCTGCTCGATGAAAATGCCCCCACCTACCTGACTCTAGGATTCAAGGTAGATGTGTCCAACCCAATTTCAGATGAAAGTGCCGGTGTGGATGATCTCAGGATTACTGGATTCTACACGTGTGAGCCTACTTCTAGTCCTACAGGAAGCCCTACTGGTTCCGTTGCAACAGGAAGCCCTATTGGCGTGACCACTGGAACACCCACTGGCTCTCCTGTCGCTGGCAGCCCAACAGGTGCTCCTGTTACCAGTTCACCCACAGTGTCAACCACTGGGACACCATCATCTGTCAAAATCTGTTACCCAGAGGTTGTCCTCGAGGAAGAAAACTTCCAGAGCTTTGATTCCTCTGAATCCTGGAATGGTGGAAGTCTCTTTGACAGTGAGACTGCTACTCAATTCCTTGGGCTTCTCGGAAAGGAAACTCCAGAAATTTCCAACACCTATGATATTCCACTCTCCTTTGGGCCTGAACAAGATGGTGCCAATGAAGTGGAAATTGAGTTTACTCTGTACCAGCTTGATTCCTCTGACTCATCCACCAAGTTCTATGCTGTCATTAATGATGAGCCAATTGACTTTGGAAATCTGAATCCCACTGGTGATGGAGAGCCCCAGTCTGGAACCACCGACAGTGGCATCCAGTGGACTCGAGTTACCCCTGAAGAGTCTCTCAGTGTTAATGATGGGCCCATGGATGACAAGAAGCACACTATCACTCTGTCCATCCCATCTGACATGATTGGGGATGACACTCCCACATCTTTGACACTTGGATTCCAGGTTGATTCACCCAATCCGAATTCGGTGGAGAGCTATGGTATTGATGACCTGAAGATCACAGGTTACTACACTTGTGAGAAGACAGGAGTTCCCTCTGCTGTGCCCGTCACTGGCAGCCCAACTGCTACACCAGAGACAGGTTCACCGACAGGTGGTTTTGGCACTGTCACCGGTTCTCCCACCAGTACAACAACGCCACCACCGGTTACACCATCACCAACTTCATCGGAAACTGTTGTTAGCACAGGTGGTGGTAGCGAGTCAGCACAACCCTCAGTGGCTCCAGTAACTCCCGCACCAACTTCATCGGAAACTGTGGTTAGTACGGGAGGTGGTAGCCAGTCAGCAGAACCCTCGGAGGCTCCAGCGACTCCTGCACCAAGCACAATTGCTTCATTGGTCCCTGGAACACCAGTTCCAACTGGAACTGAAGCCACCAGCAGCCCGACTGGAATTACAGGAAACCCCACTACAGGCAGTGTCACTGGTGCACCCACAGAAACCTCAGTGACTGGCACTCCTACAGGATCAACCGCTACTGGCACCCCTACTGATAGTATGGCATCATTCACTGGTCGTCCTACTGGAACAACAACAACTCCACCCGTTGCGTCACCTTCCATGACAGGTTCGCCAACTGCCACTGAAGTCACAGGTGTACCCACTGAGAGTTCTGCAACTGGAAGCCCATCAACAGGCAGCCCCACTTCCGGTTTTGGTACTGTCACTGGTTCTCCTACCAGTACTGCAATCCCACCCCCTGGTTCGCCATCACCAACAACAGGCGAAACAGGTTCACCAACGGGAACAATTCCAACAGTTGGATCAAGTGAGACTCCCACAGGATGGCCCACTGACAGCCCATCAAATTCACCAACAGGAACCTCTGCAACAGGTTCCCCCACTGGAAGTAGCACCATTGGTACTGTGACAGGAGCCCACTGGAGCTTCTGCTACAGGTGCTCCCACAGGATCTGCTGCAACGGGAACACCAACAGGAACTTCGGTCACTGGTGCACCAACTGGAGCAACTCCAGTCACACCATCCCCAACTGCACAGGAAACTGTAGTCAGCACAGGGGAAGGTAGCCAGTCTGCAGAACCATCAGTAGCACCAGTGACAACGGCACCTACGACTGCGGCACCAACCTCTACTCTCAGGATGGTGCCATTGACTAGTGCACCAACTGAAACAGAAACCACTGGCACCCCCACTGGAATCACAGGAACCCCCACTACCGGCAGTGTAACTGGTTCACCCACTGGAACCTCTGCTACTGGCAACCCCTCTGGAACACCTGCTACAGGCAGCCCTACTGATAGTATGGCATCATTCACTGGTCGTCCCACTGGAACAACAACAACTCCACCCGTTGCGTCGCCTTCCATGACAGGTTCTCCAACTGCAACTGATGTCACCGGTGTACCCACTGAGAGTTCTGCAACTGGAAGCCCATCAACGGGCAGCCCCACTTCCGGTTTTGGTACTGTCACTGGTTCTCCTACCAGTACTGCAATCCCACCCCCTGGTTCGCCATCACCAACAACAGGCGAAACAGGTTCACCAACGGGAACAATTCCAACAGTTGGATCAAGTGAGACTCCCACAGGATGGCCCACTGACAGCCCATCAGATTCACCAACAGGAACCTCTGCAACAGGTCCCCCCACTGGAAGTAGCACCATTGGTACTGTCACAGGCAGCCCCACAGGAACTTCCGTTACGGGTACTCCCACAGGATCTGCTGCAACGGGAACACCAACTGGAACTTCGGTCACTGGTGCACCAACTGGAACTGTCACAGCTCCGCCTACTGGATCTTCTGGAACTGGTCACCCCACTAGTTCATTTGGCACTGATACGGGCAGCCCCACTGCAGGTTCAGCCACTGGGACACCTACTGGAACCTCTGCAACAGGTTCCCCTACTGGAACTAGTACCCTTGGCACTGTTACAGGAAGCCCCACTGGAACTTCTGCTACTGGTGTTCCCACGGACTCTGCACAGGTTCCCCCACTGGAACTGTACCCTTGGCACTGTTACGGAGCCCCACTGGAACTTCTGCTACTGGTGTTCCCACTGGACTCTGCACAGGTTCCCCCACTGGAACTGGTACCCTTGGCACTGTTACTGGAAGCCCCACTGGAACTTCTGCTACTGGTGTTCCCACCGGAACTTCTGCGACAGGTTCCCCCACTGGAACTGTACCCTTGGCACTGTTACGGAAGCCCCACTGGAACTTCTGCTACTGGTGTTCCCACCGGAACTTCTGCAACAGGTTCCCCTACTGGAACTAGTACCCTTGGCACTGTTACTGGAAGCCCCACTGGAACTTCTGCTACTGGTGTTCCCACCGGAACTTCTGCAACAGGTTCCCCTACTGGAACTAGTACCCTTGGCACTGTTACTGGAGCCCCCTGGAACTTCTGCACAGGTTCCCCCACTGGAAGTAGCACCATTGGTACTGTGACAGCGTCCCACTGGAGCTTCTGCTACTGGTGTTCCCACTGGAACTTCTGCTACTGGTGTCCCACCGGAACTTCTGCAACAGGTTCCCCTACTGGAACTATACCCTTGGCACTGTACAGGAAGCCCCACTGGAACTTCTGCAACAGGCACGCCAACAGGATCTGCTGCAACGGGAACACCAACTGGAAGTTCGGTCACTGGTGCACCCACTGGAACTGTCACAGGACCGCCCACTGGAACTTCTGCGACAGGTTCCCCCACTGGAACTAGTACTTTCGGCACTGCTACAGGCAGCCCCACCGGAACTTCTGTTACCAGCACTCCCACAGGCACGTCTGCAACAGGAACACCTACTGGACCTTCTTTGACTGGTGCTCCAACTGGCGGCACAACCTCAGCTCCAGCTACACCCTCCCCTACATTTC